AATGACAGGCCAATATCCCTGATGAACATAGATGCAGAAATCCTCAACAAAATACTACCAAATCAAATCCAACAGCATATCAAAAAGTTAATTCACCAGGATCAATTAGGCTTTATTCTTGGGATGCAAGGTTGGTTTAATGTATGCAAATTAATAAACGTGATTAACCACATAAACAGAATTAAAAACAAAAACATATGATTATCTCAATAGGTGTGGAAAAAGCTTTTGATAAAATCCAACACCCTTGATGAATTCAGTGAAGTTTCAGGAACAAAATTAAAGTACAAAAATTAGTAGCATTTCCATACATCTATAACACTCAAGCTGACAGCCAAATCAAGAACATAATCCCATTTATAATAGACACACACACACACACACACATACACACACAGAGAGAGAGAGAGAGAGAGAGAGAGAGAGAGAGAGAAAGAGAGAGAGAAAACCTAGGAACATATCTAACCAAGGAATTGAAAGATCTCTACAAGGAGAACTACAAAACACCACTGAGATAAATTGCAGATGACACAAACAAATGAGAAAACATTTCATGCTCACGGATTGAAAGAATCAATATCATTAAAATGGCCATACTGCCCAAAGCAATTTATAGATTCGATGCCATTCTTATCAAGCTAGTAATATCATTTTTTACAGAATCAGAAAAAACAATTCTAAAATTCATATGGACTCACAAAAGGGCCCAAATTATCAAAATAATCCTAAGCAAAAAGAACAAAAGCCAGTGGCACCACATTACCTGACTGCAAACTATACTATAAGGCTACACTAACTAAAACAGCATGGTACAAAAACAGACATATAGACCAATGGAATGAAATAGAGAACCCAGAAATAAAGCCACGTACCTACAGCCAACTGATTTTTGACAAAGCTGACAAAAACTAAGCAATGGAGAAAAGATTCCCTATTCAATAAATGGTACTGGGATAGCTGGCTAGCCACATGCAGAAAAATGAAACTGGGCCCCTACCTTTTATCATATACAAAAATTAACTAAAGATGGATTAAAGATTTAAATGTAAGACCTCAAATTATAAGAATTCGAGGAGAAAACCTAGGGAACGCCATTCTGGACATTGGCCTTATGACATTGGCCAAGAACTTATGACTAAGTCCTTGAAAGCAATTGCAACAAAAACAAAAATTGACAATTGGGACCTAATTAAACTAAAGAGCTTCTGCACAGCAAAAGACAGACACTATCAACAGAGTAAACAGACAACTTACAGAATGAAAGAAAATACTTGCAAATTACATATCCAGCAAAGGACCAGTATCTAGAATCTATAAGGAATTTAACTCAACAAGCAAAAGCAAAAACAAAACCCAAAAACCCATAAAACCATTAAAAAGTAAGCAAAAGCCATGAACAGACACTTTTTAAAAGAAGATATAGAAGTGAGCTTGGTGCAGTGGCTTATGCCTGTAATCCCAGAACTTTGGGAGGCTGAAGCATTTGAGATCACAAGTTTAAGATCAGCCTGGGCAACATGGCAAAACACTGTCTCTACTAAAATAAATATACAAAACTTAACTGGGCATGGTGGTACTCACCTATGATCCTAGCTACTCAGGAGGCTGAGGTGGAAGTATCACTTGAGCTCGGGAGGCTGAGCCTGCAGTGTGCCATGATTGCACCACTGAACATCAGCCTGGGCAACAGAGCCAGACCTTATCTCAAAAAAAAAAAAAAAAAAAAAAAAAAAAAAAAAAAAAAAAAAGAAAGAAAGACATACAAGTGGCCAAAAAAAGTAAATTAGTTCGGCCACTATGAAAAGCAGTTTGGAGACTTCTCAAAGAACTTAAAACAGAAATACCATTTGACCTAGCAATCCCATTACTGGGCATATATCCAAAAGAAAATAAATCGTCCTGCCAAAAAGACACACATACTCGCATGTTCATTGCAGCACTATTCACAACAATAAAGATATGGAATCAACCTAGGTGTCTATCAACAGTAAACTGGGTAAAGAAAATATAGTACATATACACCATGGAATACTATGCACCCATAAAAAAGAACAAAACTATGTCTTTTGCAGCAATGTGGACGCAGTTGCAGGGCATTATCTTAAGTAAATTAATTCAGGAACATGAAACCAAATAGTGTACATTCTCATTTATAAGCGGGAGCTAAACACTGAGTACTCAGACATAAAGATGGCAACAATAGACACCAGGGACTACTAGACAGGGAAGGGAGGGAGGGGAGCAAGAGTTAAAAAACTATTGGGTACTATGTTCTGTACCTGGGTCATAGAAACAAATGTATCTCAAAGCTCAGTGTCATGCAATATACTATGTAACAAAATCTGCACAGGTACCTTCTGAATCTAAAATAAAAGTTGAAATTTAAAATAAAATAAAGTATTTGCAGAATTTGAAACCTGCCTACACAGAGGGCTAACTCTTCATATAAGCCGGTTCCACAGGGCCAGACGCAGGACTCGAGTATGCACAATTTTACCAGTCCCCATGTGTACAAAGGGATGACTGTAATCTCACGCTTTGCCTCTATTTCAGCGTTGACATTTGAACCATTGATTAGGAGTTGTACTCAGTGTCAGATGTGTTATACATCCAAGTAGCTTTCACAATCCAACAATTAACTGCATGACTTGAAGAAGCCACTGAGCATTAGCTACGTTTCTGAACACAGCTTCAAATTTTTGCCCATAAAATTGGTGAAGTTTTACCAAATTTTGCCAACGCTGCTAATAAATACCCATCTCACAGGTTCGGTGGGACAGTCTGGTGAGCTCAATCAGGGGAGTGCTTAGCATGGTGCCTGGTAGAGAGCGAGGACTAAACTAATAAAAGTGAAATAAAAACAAAGCAAGAGTTTCTATTAGGAAAAATATCAGGCATGAGGATTAAGTTAAGAATTTCACACATCCACGGGGAGCTTTTTTGCTTAGTTACATCACCCAAGGACCCCCTGCTAATGCCCTATCCTTATCACCCTATGACTCTACTGCTCCTTTTGTTATGAGGGCTGATGTCTGTTCTCTGCACTTGCAGACTTCTGGGTTTGGGAGGTACGTCCATGATGATAGAGTTAAGCCCCCAAAGCCTTGGGCTTGCTGTGTCCCCCAGGTGTCTGTTTAGAGAAGCACTTCCCCTTAGGGGGAACCTGGGGCTTCCAAGGCTACCAAGCCATTCCCCTCTGCTCATTTTCCACTACTGCAAAATACACACTCCCGCAGCTTAGAAAAAGTAGTGGCATTTTTGCCAGTCCTCATCTTCTGCCATATTCAACTCTATTGGTTATTTCTTTTTTCTTTTCTTTTAAAGAAGGATAGTCTGTGTTTCCTTCTTTCAGGAATACTCAGTATTGCTAATAGGACGCGAGTTCCTTAGCATTCCAGGGAGAGAAAAGGGTAGAGTCAGTTGCTTGTTTCTTGTCTTAGGTTCTTGAAAAATAGATGAGCCATCTTTCTCTTCTGTCACTTAGTGGGAAAGGACTCTCATAAATACATTTTTTCCCTAGAGATAGTGAGAAGTGACAGACAACTCACATCTTTATTTGCCTGAAAACATGCAAATGCAAACATGTGACCCACTAGATGATAGGGGCTACAGGATTTTGCTCTTTTCCTGAGCCCGGTACGAAGCCAAAACACCATTCCAGCCTGTCAAAATCAAAAGAAAATTCTTTGGCTGTAAGAGGCAGAGGGAGTCCAGCCACACTCACTTGCTTAGCATCGATATGTAATACACAAAGGAAGACAGAAGAGAGATGAGTCATACAAATACGTAGTAAATAAATATATTTCATTTTCATCTCAGTAGCTTTTGCTTTTTTTTTTTTTTTTTTCTTCTTCTTTTCTATGCCAGCAGTCTTGAAATGGAGGTGGGGGTGGGGTGGGGTATGTGAGAAAATAGTAGGTTTTGGCTGGATAGTTTCAATAAGGTCTTGACAGTTCTGGCCTTGCACTCGGCTCTAGCTTTTTAAGAAAAAAATCTTGTAGATTCTTAGATTAGAAGGCTTTCTAATTTGACCCCTCTCATTGTACAGATGAGCAGTCTGAGATGAGAGAGGGGACTGACAACAGTCACAGACCCGGAGGAGTGACCGTGTGTCGGGGTTCTCTGGTTCAACAGCCCCATGCGATGCTGCTGGCATGACCTAGACAGGTCAAGCTGACAAGAGGGCAGGAGAGTGAGCCTGGAACTGAGACGTGCCCTCCCAGGTCAAAGCACCTCTGCTGTGCCCACGGCTAAAGGGACTACACGGAAGAGAAACAGCCTGCGCCTTCTCGTGTTTCGGACTGCATTCTCAGCAGCTGAGGCCCAACCTGGCAACAAAATATCTGGTCCCGGCTCTGCAAGCAGTTGTTGCCTCTGGCATGTTAGAGCCCTTGGCCAAAGGACTGTTCCTGTCCTCTTGTTCTCAAGGATAGCTAACCAGCCTGCAGGAACGCAGAAACCAGCCCTGGGCCCACCGGGCTGCAGGCACACGGGAGCTTTCACCATCTCCAGATCCCAAGGTGGCCTGGTGATGATTTGTTTATCAAACTGTAGATTCCCAGCCCACTGCCAGCCCACACCCACCTACCCACCCGCCTGCCCACAGGCCAGCCTCCCTGCTCTTGCCACCTCTGGGGCAGGCAGGGCCCTCCACGGTTTTCCAGATGTGTGCAGGGAGGTCTCCTCAGAGTCCCCGCAGTCAGACAATGGCCACACACTGCTTCCTAGGCCTTCCCAGGCAGTGCTAGACGGAGACAAGCAGCCTTCCCAGCAGAGGCAACCGGCGCCGCTGGTAAAATATTGGCAAAATGATCACGAAAGCCAGAGTCATAAAGCTTTCCCTCTGCCAAGGAGCACAGAAAGCACCAAAAAGGAGCCTGAGGGTCATGTGTCCAGAGATGCCAGGCTTCCTTCCTCCTTCCAGGCGGCCCGAGCGCAGGATCCCGCACCTCCCGCCCCCACCCCTGTTCCCATGGCAAAGGAGAGGAGGATCCACTTACTGCTAGTGTTCATGGTGATGTCTCCGCACTGGGTCTTTCATTCAATACGGAGGCCCCGGCTGCTTTTAAAATCTTCCGGTCTTCGAACCTCACTCATCACCTAGGGGGTGAAAAGGCAGTCCGGTGCCAGCTCTGTATCCTCAGGTGCTCTCTCTCCCTCTGCTGGCCCTTCTCTCTCTGGGCTGTAGCCACCGGCCTTGAAGGCGCGTGGACTGATACGCGCAGGTGAGAGCCAGGAGGAGGAGGAGGGGGCAGGACACCGGCGCCCCGCTCCTCCTGCTCCTCAGATCCGAATCCCGGGCAGAAGTGGGGTTGGCAGCGCCTGCTCGCGCGCACCCCGCACTATTCCTGCCCAGCGGCTCCGGAGCCCAAAAGGGGGTGTGGACCGCAGGGAGGCAGGGCGGGGGCAGCGCGTCCCCGCCCGGCCTCAGGGAGCAGCGACCCGCCCCGGAACCCACCTCTCGGCCAGTGTCGGGAGCCAGAGGCCCCTGCCCCGGCCCCTGCGACCGATTCATGAATCCTGGTCCTCGTCTGGGGTCTCGAATTCCAGGGCGAGCAATGCGAAATAGGAGAGCTCGACATCCATGATGCGGGCTCGCGGGTCGGCAGCGCGGGGGGCGCGGCCGCTCGCTGCTGCCACCTGCTGGACGCACCGGCGCGTGTCCGAGGCCCCGCCCCGCCGGGCTTCTGCCTGGGCCCTGGGGTGCGATGGGGGATGGACGGGACCCTGTGTCCTGGGACCAATGACGGGGTGCTGGAGCGCTTGTTTTCCCTCCCTTGATCCTGAGGTCTAAGGGCTCGACAATGGCAGGGAAAGAAACATCATTGTGGTGGTGGGGGGGTGCCGTGAAGGAAAGCCTGGCTTTGCAGGGGAACAGTTTCCCAGTTTCCATCCGGCCCTGCTGCTGGCAAGCGTGGTGCAGTCTAGGCTTGAGCGGCCACGACCCTCGCTGCCTCGTCTTCCTCACCTGTGAATGTGGCGTCCGGACAAGTGGATGAGACAATAAGGGGGCTCCTCCAGCCTCCCAGCCTGTGTCCCCTGTTCCCTCACTGATTCCCTTTATCCCCTATCACCGACTCATCATTAGAATTGTTTATGACCTCTCTTACCCACGAGAATGTTAGCTCCATGAATGAATGGGTCTGTCAGTAGGGTTCACCTACAGGGCCAGGCATGGGGTAGCCACCAATAAATATTTGTTGACAGAGCAACCCAGACATTTTCTGGGTTTAATATTACACAGCCCTAAGAGTAGACTGCCGAGGCACCCCACCCTGAAACACTTCCCCATCTGAGGAGAACAGCAGGTATGTGGTCTCACAGGTCCACGCCAGCTTTCGTATGGTAAACCAACTCTTCCCACAAGGTTTTTTTTTTTTTTTTTTTTTTGTAATTATATCTTATAGGGGTGTATTTTAGAAGTTTATATTCTAAAGTTTTTAGGTCATAATTGATTCAGTAGGGTAGGGCTCTTGACATTCCTGTGACTACTTACTCTGTCACTTTCTGAACCTAATTCATGATCATAGAAGCATGACTTTTGAGTGCTGAAAAACAAGACTGAGAGGACACACAATCCTTGTCTATAGCGTGACTCCAATTAGAGCATGTGCAGACTCAAAAGGCTGTGAACACTCACAGCCCCATCACAGCCCCAGCTTAGACAAGGAAACAGTGGGTCAGAGAGGCTGGGCAACCTGCCCTAGGACACACAGCATCTTGGTGGCAGAACTGGACCACATCTTCTCACTTCTAGATTAATCCTGTGTGAGAGTGGCTCAGTGCACTAGAGTCTGGGATGTTAGTGTACGATTGGGTAGCTGCCCTATTAAAAGTGGTGAAAGAATACCTTTTAGGTAAATACAATGTTTCTACTTTATGCAGGGAGGAAAAAATTGATAAAATTGATACGGCTCATGACCACAAGAGGTGATCACCATTAAAGAATCTTTAGGTAAACTGAAGGATCAATGGATTTGAAACACATTTGATAGCTTGTTAGGAATTTTGTCCGATGGGGTGGAGGTAAAAAGAGCCCTAACGTCCTCACAGATATTCTCAAAATTTTGTATATGTAACAGACACCTGAGATATCTCCAAAAATGCAGATTCTCAGATTCTGGACTCCCTTGCACAGCATTTGAAACAAGCATCCCAGGTGATTCATAGCTCTTTGCTACTGAAAAGGGCAGAGGCCTAAAATAGCTTTGAGAACATAAGTGATTAGCAAATATTTAAATTATTCCACTTTATGTGTCCCCTACATTATAAGATGGAATTTCCTTATTCAGTTCCCAAGTTGCAGGTAACTTACTAGGTTCTAATGCTTGGAAAAATATATTTTTCTGAGAGAAAGTTCAGATAACTTAGACATGTAAAATTAGCAGTTGTTGTCCATGAACATATTTAGTTATCACCCAAAGCCTCAGTGTTCAGAAAATTTCAAATTATAGGACATAGTCAAATAAAAGCATGATATTGATTCATTAGTTCATTCACTCAGCAATTATTTATTGAGTGTCTACTTTGTGGTAGTCCCAGGGCTGGCTTCCGGGGATACTTTGGAGAGCAGGACAGACAAGAGCTCTACCCAATAATGGATGATTGCAGAAAAAATAAAAAAATAAAGAAATAAAAAATACTCCACCCTCATAAGCATAAATCCAGTTCTAGGGCAGCAGGGAGACAATTAACTGAGCAAAACATAAATTAGCTAAACCCAATGGTGTGCTGGGGAAAGCCCAGGTGCCGTTTTCAGCCTTCCTGACTTTTAATCCCAGCTTCATCACTTTCTAGTAGTCTCACTTTGGGGAAGATAGCCTCCCTAAGCCTCAAAGTTTCCATCTGTACAAGGGTACAGTGCCTATCTTTCGGATTGTTGTGTGTATTCAAGTACTTAGGGTAATGAATGACAAATGAAGGCTTGATGCATGCGAATTATTAGTATCACCCCTCACTTATACCTGCCCTCAGTGACAATGCTGTCCTTTCCTACTTATGGAAATCTGTTAGGCTTTTCCACAGAATGGTGGCCATGAAACCACACCTGAACATTTTCTAACTAATGGAGATAAATTGATGAATTCTTCTTGTCTGGGGTTCTCTTTGATAATATATCCAGCTAGATGCCGAAGAATTCAGCTCTTAGAAGAGATCACTGGGTCTTGGACCACTTTGTAAAGCCCAAATCGCATCTGCTGGGGGAACAGTCTTATTTTCTCTGCATAGTTTATAAGGATAGGAAAAAAGGGGTTAAAATAAGCTAAAAAAGCTATGCCCTTGAGGATGTCCACAACAATCAGAGGCAGCGGGAAAGACGCATGAGGAAGCTGGGGGTGGGATTCTCTGTGGATTTGGCTGTGAAAGTCATCAGGAGATCAGTGTTGTTGGCCCTGTCTTTGCAGGAGAATGGAGCTGAGACCCACAGAGCAGAGGATCCCTTTGTTTGGAAGTTTGTTTTGAACGTTAAGACTCCAGAATAGAGATAAACAAGTCTCACCAGGAAACTGGCAAAGGCTCCGGGTGTTGAAAACCATGTGGCAAAATCACTGGGAGGCAGACCTTCCAACTTCTTTGAGGGGAAAGAGAGGAAAGGTTTTGGGGCCAGTTTCACCCATGGCCATGGCCTCGCCCCTCACGGGCTGCTGCTGCGCTGCCGTTAGTGGGCTTTTCCTCTCCACAAAGAGCTCCCGTCTTGTCTGACTCCCTGTCCCTAACTGGGGTCATCTCGAGCTCTCCTCACTTTCTGCTCCCTGCCTCCCGTTGCTGTTAATGACTAAGGCAACTCTCGGCCCCTAACTTTTTTCTCCAGTTGCCTTTCTCTCATTCCAGTCCAGTTGCATCTCTGCTTCCTCCTCATTTTGCTCCTTTCGTTTACAAATAAATGCTCACTTGAATATGGACACAAAACTTTGAATGCAAAGTTTTTCCTTTTTTTTCAAGTTTTTGCATTGATATATATTTTCTTTTTTTTTATTGCATTTTAGGTTTTGGGGTACATGTGAAGAACATGCAAGACTGTTGCATAGGTACACACATGGCAGTGTGATTTGCTGCCTTCCTTCCCCTCAGCTATATCTGTCATTTCTCCCCATGCTCTCTCTCCCTACCTCCCCACCGCCTCATCCCTTCTCCATTTCCCCCCAATGGACCCCAGTGTGTAGTGATGTCATCTCACACAAGTTAGAATGGCGATCATTAAAAAATCTGGAGACAACAGATGCTGGAGAGGGTGTGGAGAAATAGGAACACTTTTACACTGTTGGTGGGAGTGTAAATTTGTTCAACCATTGTGGGAGACAGTGTGGCGATTCCTCAATGACCTAAAAATAGAAATCCCATTTGACCCAGCGATCCCATTACTGAGTATATATCCAAAGGATTATAAGTCATTCTACTATAAGGACACATGCACACGAATGTTCATTGCAGCACTGTTTACAATAGCAAAGACCTGGAACCAACCCAAATGCCCATCAATGATAGACTGGACAGGGAAAATGTGGTACATATACGCCATGGAATATTACGCAGCCATCAAAAACGATGCGTTAGTGTCCCTTGTAGGGACATGGTTGAACCTGGAAACCATCATTCTCGGCAAACTGACACAAGAGCAGAAAGTATTTCTAGTCTATAAGATGTGGGAGGGGTGGAGAGGGTGCTTGTGGTTCCATAGTTTCTGCTTGCCTTCCTTAGACTATCTGAATATCTCACCAAAGGTGACTGCTTGTTTTTTCAGTTTTGAAAAGTAACATGCAGTTGTTAGCAACCTGAGACAGATCTATGTGTAATTATGGGGGAGGATTTTCATAGCACGTGACTAAAAAAGAAGAAAATTACAGAAAATATATACAGTATGTTTTTTTTTTTTTTTTGAGCCGGAGTTTTGGTCTTGTTACCCAGGCTGGAGTGCAATGGCGCAATCTCGGCTCACCGCAACCTCCGCCTCCTGGGTTCAGGCAATTCTCCTGTCTCAGCCTCCTGAGTAGCTGGGATTACAGGCACGCACAACCATGCCCAGCTAATTTTTTGTATTTTTTTTTTAGTAGAGACGGGGTTTCACTATGTTGACCAGGATGGTCTCGATCTCTTGACCTTGTGATCCACCCGCCTCGGCCTCCCAAAGTGCTGGGATTACAGGCTTGAGCCACCGCGCCCGGCTTACAGTATGTTTTTAAAGGTAATGTGTAGATGAGGGCAAATGCTGTTGAAGGATTAGACTGGATGATGCCTGCAATTCCTTTCTCTGTAGTGTTCTTGGTTCTAAGCATAGAGCGGTTGAACCAAGTTTGAAGTTTGGCAGATCTGACCACCTTCTCAGTTGGTGTGGGGACCTTTGCTCCCCTAGGGACACCACCGGTTTGTGCTGAGCCCCAGGCCCTGAAGGCAGAGCGGACTTCCCACAGGGGATGGTGCTTTGCCTGAAGCTCTCTGCATTTCTTTCCCCTTTCCTCTCTGGCTCTCTGGGGGATCCCTGAAACCTAGGCGGAATTGACAGAACTCAGACCTGTTTTTCTGGTTGAAATAGCTTTGTGACTGGGCCTTGCTTTTCCTCTTGTTCCTCACATTGTTTTGTGGGGGAAATGTTAAGAAAACAAAACAAAACAAAAATCAAAGTGGCTCCCA